AGGCTTCACCATCCATTATGTCGTTCCCTCCTTCATCGCCTTGATACATTTTTCCCCTGAACACGGCTCCCAAGCCATAATAGATGCTACACAAGACCGGCTATGTGAGTGCGTACTCTCGCCCCCTCGCCATGTCGCAAGCTACATAGAACATTCCTGGATGTATAATGTCTGGTCCTCCGGGAAGAGAAAAATTACACAGAAAGAGCACTAGGTACGCCGCAAGAAGATGTGGTCATTCCCACTGCGAAGCTCAAATACTGGAGGAGTTCCCTTCATGAATTCCTTCCCCTTTCTTCGTGGGCTTGGGCCAGCCTCATCATCATAGTCCCCACAGAAGAATGCCACTCACTGGGTGAAGGAGACACGTTCTTTCTTGGACTCATAGCCGAGCAGCTGGTAAATCTCGAACAACTCTTGCAATCCGACTGGCAGGTCTTCTTTACCGACCTGTTCACCTCAAAAAATGACCGAGTTCGGGGGCATGAACTCGTCATACATAGCACCAATGAGTGAAAGCCCACCGATGAAGTACAAGTCTAGCAGAGACACCCCTGCTTCCCCATGACCAAGCAGCCATGTATTTCTAATATGGTTCTAAGTTTCCAATAGCCTGACCATGTTTAAACAATGGTCATAGTAGCCCGCCGAGCACTGAACGGCGGCCAGCAGGGAAGCGCGCTTCAGAGTGTCCCTGTATCAACTCAACACCCTGACAGTCCAGGAAGAATACCCTTTCAGATATTGATACTCCCCTTGTACTCGGAGACTGGCAAAAGACCACTTCAGGCTCGGGGTCTTAACCATTCTTTAGCCTAGGGTTGGAAAATCCCCATCTGAGGTTATATTTCTATGAAAACAGTGGAGGAGGCCTACCCCTTCTTCTATTCTTACATTCCTGTCGTCGTCTTCTCATACCTCAAAGTGAACAGGGTCACTAGCAAAGGTGACGCTCAATGGCCACCGCGGTTCACACCGCTTTAGTGGCAATTCACCCGTACCAAGCTTTCGTGAACTGACGATAGCCTTGCCTTCTGCGCACAGCGATAACGTAGCCCCTTAGTGACTTGAGCGTCACAGTGAAGCCTTTGTTCTAGCTTCATGGCCCAACCTTCAGGTGCCATTCTTGATTTGAAGAACCTCCCACTAATAGGGGAGCTTGACGCTCAATTCACCCGTAC